CAGATTGAATGGTGTGGTTGTTAAGCACCTCCATTCTGTACTGCTGACAGAAGAGTTAGAAAACATTTATCCTCCTGCTTTGGTCCAAATGGATACCTGGGGAATGTAAAGAGGCTGGTGAAGAGGCGGGCAGCTCAGCACTGACTGAGATAGAAGATTTTAAGTGAGGTATGAATTTCAGTGATCTCCAATTGGGATAGAGGGTTCCACTTGTGCTAACTGAGAATCGGTGAAGAACTAAAGCCCACTTCCTTGAGAATCTACCCTTGCACCTTGAAAGGAACCTTTTCTGGTTTATAACATGGGGATGGCTTTATAGGCACAGGGTTTCTCTGTACTGCTTTGGAGGTTTGTCCTGGAACTCGCTCTGTACACCAGGCTGGCCTCGAACTAGGAGATCCGCCGGCCTCAGCTTCCCAAGCTGGGACTAATGGTATGAACCACCAACACCCAGTCTTTTTTGTTTTTTTGTTTGTTTGATCTATATGTTTTAAAAAGACTAACAGAACTTGGACAATAGGAAATCTTCTCTGTGGCTTTCATGGAACTCCACACACCAGAACTAATGTGAAGGAGAAAAAAAGGTGATAAGGGGTACTTAATTGAAACAATAACAAAAGGGTTTCAGAAAATCTACCATGCAAAGATTTGCAATTGTATTTAAAAGCAATCAATGGACAAAGGTACTGTTGATGGGCAGTAAGCTCCCAGCAGGGTTCTCTGACTTCACATTCTTTTGGCCTTCAAACAAGAGTGGACCTTTCGGTTTTCACCCAGAATTTAACATACCAAAAAGCTATGTGAAGCAAGTTAAACTACTTGCATATTTCCATTTACATAACAGGCACACTGCACATCAGCTTTTAGTTTTTCCAGATACTAGGAGATGAAGCTTGGTCTATATTCCTATGGGAGAATAAACAGAAAACTGTCTCTCTTCCTAATATATTAGTACCCTGTAATGCAAACCATATGATCAATAAACTGTAGAAAAATTAAATCATACTGACAGTCTTAGGCAAAAACTGAACCAAGTAGAAACATTTTTTTTAGGACTGCAGTGTGTAGAATATTAAAATCACATGTTGTATTATTAAATCTTCTTTTGGAAGCCAAACAGAGTTATGTTGCATAACCACCTCAAGATACATGTTAATCTTACAGATAGTTTTTCCAATTAAAGGTGTTAAAGGGTGTTTTAACCAGTAATACTATAATACAGTTTGTGCTTATGCTTAGGTTTGAATTTTCACTCTGGAGAGACACTTGTTGCAAATAAGGAGCTGAAATGCATGCATATGCACCACACCCCTTAATTCCACCCTGAATACCCAGGAAACATCTTGGGGTGTCATTGTCCCCGCTTAAGTTATAGTTGACAGGTAATTGCTCTCTGCACATTGCTCAACACTCCTTTCTTTACACCCCCCCCCCCCCCCCCCCCCCCCCAGCCATTGGAGTATCTGGAAGTGAGAGCAACAAGTGCAAAGGCTGTGGGGGTGGGGAGTGGGAATCCAGCTTTCCTAATGATAAAACAGGAGGCAGGGGGCTTGCCTACACAGGCAGCAGAGAAAGTGCTGATCCCACCCACCAAGGCCACCCTCGAACCCTGGGAGGCCTCAGATAAATTTGCCGCACACACCCGTCAACCTTTTTAGTGCTTTCTCCATTACCCCCACCCCACCCCACCCCAGGGCCTGGGAGGGTCCTTAAAAAAATTCAACAACTTGATTATAAGTCCTTAAGTATTCGTCTCGTCCACTCTGCATGATAATAAGCCTGACGCCACCAGGAAGGTAGGCCCCCCAGCGACAACTCCTCAACATAGCATCTAATGTTGAACCACTGTGAACTGAACAGGGAATGGTATACACATGACCTATACAAGCAAGCTCCCTTCCCTTTCACAAACTGAAATCTTACTTCCAGCCGCCCCTATCTGAAGAGGGCCAAGCTTAATTTTAAATTCTAAGAAACCCATCGGCTCACAAAATTCTCTGAGGGGAGTTGGGCAAGAACAGGCGGCCACCACCTAAGAGTCCTCAACAGGCAGCAAACCCAGGGCGGCACAACCTGCACGGACTAACGAATCCCTTCCAAGGGGGCTGAAGCCTCCGTGCAGGAGTTCTCTTTGGTGGAAATGGACAGGGAACACAGATGTTTCTTCAGTTAGCAGTGTTGGCAGAACAGCGCCTGGACGGCATCCGAGTTCTTAATGCAGGAAGGGGCCTCACAGACCATCTACTTGAACCCACTCATTCAACTGAGGAGGAAACTGAGGCCAAGGAGGCCATTTAGGTGGTACACTCATCTAGAGGGTAGAGGGGCAAGGCTCTCTGGTAACGCTCTGGTTTACATCGAAATTCGCTTAAAAGAAAAAACGTCCTATTTTTACTTCAACCTTGGAACTACGGTGGATTCACGTCAATAGCTTCTCTCTGGCCCTAGCTTGGTTCAGTAGCGCCCCCCCTCCCCGCCCCATTCCTTTGACTCCCACCACCCCTTCCAGCTGGAGCTTAACATCTGTTTTGCAAAAACAGGCGCGCGCCTCGACTTTGAGGGAGTGTTGCTCAACTGTAGTCCCCCAAGTAAGACCATGGCTGGCTTTCCTTCAGTAGCCTTCTGGGTGAACCCGGCTTCTAGTCCCTGCCTAAACGAATCAGGGAGTGAGCTGGTTTAAAACTGAAGCCCGCGAAGCTGCCTACCACCTGGCACACAGTAGGCGCTCAACAAGTGATGTGTTCCTCGGTGCCCAAGACCTGGTTGGGAAGAGCCCAATCTCACTCCCTGGGGCTTTCAGCATAGCGAGGAGCCAGTGACAAGGCCAGTTTGCGCTACTAGCCCAGCAAGGCAGCGCGACGGAAGGGGTGGATGTTTACATGCAGCCGGGACCAGCAGCGTCACTGCCGTAGGAGCCCAGCTCGCCCCAGACTCGGATGCAGTGAGGAGAGCGACAGGCTACCTCCAGATCGTGGAGGTCGAGCCCACACCTTCCGAGGGACCATGCCCCCCGCTCCCAACTGGAGATTACCCCTAAGGAACTGGTTCCAGCTGCCGCGAATGCATAAGCACGCCCCAACTTGTATTCGCAGGCCTGGGATTGGGGGTCCGGGAGGGCGGGGAGCTCGCGGCTAGCACGGCGCCCGGAGGATGGCTGCGGGGCCTCAGGGGCTGCCAGGGGGGCGGGACCCGGGGCCTGGAGGAGGTGGGGGTGACCCGTGGGACTGCACTCACCCATGAAGAGGCAGAAGAGGTCTAGGCAGATGAGCAACACCCGCTTGCTGCCTCCCTTCCTCGGGTTGTTGTTGAGCGCGGGGCTGCCGCCGTTCTTACTCTCCGGGACGATCGCCTTGTCGTACTTGTAGTTTTGCATGGCGCTGGCAGCGGAGAGCCTCCCGGGACGCTGCGGGCCGCCGCTGCTCAGGAGCGGGTCTGCGGGCTCGGGACGCGGCGACGAGAGTGAAGCCCAGCCGAGTAGTTCCAACTGCAGGCGCGGATAGGTTTCCCCTCTGGGCGCCTCTGCTTTCCTCTCAAGCCCAAACTGCTCGCTAGTCCAAGGGGAAGAGAGCCAAATCCCGAGCAGGAACTTTTGCAGAGCTGTGCTGCCCGGGACGCGCACGGCTGG